AGTAACACCTGAGACAACAAACTGCTTTCTGTGGTATTTGGTGTTCCACAAGGGTCAATCCTTGGTCATCTGCTTTTTTGGAATAGCTTTGCCCTCGGGACACATTATTAACCATCAGAGGTTTAGTGGTGGATACCACCAATTTTTTCAACTTTATTAACCATAACCTTTGTATTTAGATCCACAAATTTCACCAGTAACCAAACTCTTTAGTTATTTCAATCAATGCCTTTAAAACCATCCATAATCTTTTTTGGGTGTGAATTAGGACCATGAAAAGTCATGCTGCATTGGTTAGTAGCAATCCCTATTTGTGCACTGTAGTCACACTGATTTCAGGAGTGTATCATTTCTGTGTGTTCAGATTTGAGTTGAGTTTTTACTCTGAGAAGAAGAGATGGGTGCAAAGCACAAAGGTAATACTTTTAATTCTAATCCACGTAGAGCACTGGCATGCTGGTTCCAAGGAAATTACCAACCAGCAAAAGAGATTGGGTCAGTGCTGGGTATAATGATATAAACCACTGTAGCAGGGGTCAGTATTACTACGGGTTCTACTCAGCACAAACAGTGGCACACTTTTCTATCAACTTAGATTTTCTTTGCTCATAAACTTGCTTTCACAACACAAACATTCTTCTAACTCTTCGCTCCTCTGCCACCTTGCTGGGTGATTCCCACAGGGTCTATAGTCCAGTTAATAACACAAACTCAAAGTACAGCTTTCCCATTCTCCTCAAGCTCCAGCATGTGTGTGCCTTCCTTTGGTCCAGCATGCTATTGCATATGAAGAGAGAATATAATTAGCCAACAGGTAAGACCTACACCAATTAAAACCTTGGCACTGCTCCCACAAGCCACTCCCACCCATCATTCCCTTGCAGCTAAGCCCCAACTACACCCCACTAACCTTATTAACTGACTGATAGTCATCAGTTTCTTGTGAATTAAACTATAGAGAATTTGATTTCCAATTTGATCCAAGAAAAGAGTGCAGGGCAGACAGGGATCTTTTGGTTTATTTCATGAAGGATATATTGTACAGACGAGTATTCACTGGCAGATAATGGCAGAAAAGAATCATAAATTAATAGAAAATAATAAAAAAAAACATCTTAAAGAACAGTTCAGGAATGTTAGTATGACAGAAAAGGAAAAAATATACCATAAAACAAACATTCAAAAATGTGGGAAAAAATCAACTGATTTAATTTAGTTTGAAGAAAGGTGAAAATTTCGACATTTAAATTCTACAAAACTTGTTTGTTATTAATCCTTTTTTTTAATCAATCAATCAATCAATCAATCAATCAATTTTATTTATAAAGTCCAATATCACAAATCACAATTTGCCTCACAGGGCTTTACAGCATACGACATTCCTCTGTCCTTATGACCCTCGCAGCGGATAAGGAAAAACTCCCCAAAAAAAACCCTTTCACGGGTGAAAAAAACGGTAGAAACCTCAGGAAGAGCAACTGAGGAGGTAAAGTTGATAGACAAGTGTCTATTAGGGAGAGGCCAACTTCAGATGATCCTCAGCTGAGGTCATTGGCCTAATTTCATTATTGCCTGGGTCAGATAAAATGCAGGATGTATCTGTTGCTGAATAAACTGGTCAATTCAAAGACAACCTCCTGTGTTTTTAGGTCCATCTTGTCTTCATCCACCTTCTCTTGCTGAAATGTCTTCTTATTGTCCTCTCACTGACTCCTGACCTTCTACAGCTGCAGTTTAAGTTGGTCCATCTGTTCTTTATGATTTTTTTTTTTTTTTTTGCTCCTGAACTTGTTTCTTCCTCTCTATCACCCATCACCTGCTGTACTGGCTGTCCAGTACTGGCTGTCCGTTAATGAGCTGTTTTTCATGTTTCTTGCTCCATTTGACATGGGGGTCCTGTTTTGTCACTCTCTTCTTGTATCTTCCTCACATCACTCTGTACATCTCCTGCTGGCGGCTGGTCTGGTTTTCTTATTTCATCCTTAACTGACGGAGTGCTTGAGTCTTCTTCTATGGTTGGCGTATCCTTCTCTCTGTCTCTGCCGTTGGGATTGTTTTCTGGCTGAACTTCAGTTTGCTGCTGGGCATGCGTTTCTCTGTTTGGTGGACAGGAAGGTTCTGTTTTTTTAATCATCATGTCAGTCTCTTCCTCAGGTTTTCTCCCTCCTGCTGCCTGTGGTTCATCTTGTTTTGGTTTTCCCTCAGTTGGAGCCTGATCGGCTGTTTTGCTGTTTGTAGATTTTGTGTCCTTACCTCCATTTTTCTGGTTCAAATTATTCTGTACCTCTGCTTCTGAGGGCTGACCTGTTTGTCCATCAGTGTTTACTTTTACATGTGTTGTGTCCTCCCCTCCTTCTCCCCTGTTATGATTCTGTCCTTTGGGTCGTTCTCCCTCTGCTGGACCCTGAGTTTCTTTTTCTATAAGATTGTTCTCATCGTTTTCTGTCTTCTCTGAATCATTCTCTGTCCCTCCTCCTGCTGCTGTCGCTTCATCAGTTGCTGTCGAATGACTTTGTTTTTGGTTCTTCATCAGTTGGACCTTCACCATCTGTTTTGTTTTTTGTGAGTTTTGTTGTGTCCTCCACTTCATCTCCTCTGTTACTGTTCTGTACTTGGTGTCTCTCTTCCCCTGCTTGACGTGGAGTGTTCTTTTCCTCAGTTATAAGTTTTTTCTCAGTCTCCCCCTCATTCTTTTTCCCTCCTCATGCTGGGAGATCCTTGTGTTGTGTTGCTTCATCAGTTGGAATCTGATCTGCTGGATTGGTATTCGCAGTTTGCTCTCTATTTTCTTGCTTGTCTGTGTCACTGTTTGCTTCTTTTTCTGCCCTGACCTCCTGTTCATCTCCATCCATCTGAACCTTGACTTGTTTTTCTGTATCAAGTGAGTTTGGACCCTCTTCTTGATTTTTCTTGTCCCCATTTTCGTCTGGTTGTTCTTGGTGGGTTTCACTCTTTGCTGGGCCTGGAGTGACTTTTTCTTTTGTGTCCTTCAAATCATTATTGGTTTCTCCTACTGCTGTAGGATGACTTTGCTTTGGGTCTTTATCAGCTGAACACTCACCCTCTGTTTCGTTATTTGTAGAGTTTGTGTCTTTGTCTGCATCTTTCTTGTTCAAATCACTATGTGCAGGAGCTTCTGGGAGCCGATTTGTTTGTCCATTCCCCGGAGACAGAGATGCTGTGTTTTCTTTTGTAGTTGTTGTGTTCTCCGCTTCATCTCCTCCGTTACTACTCTCTTCTTTCTTGGGCTCCTCTCTCTTCTCTGAATCATTATTTGTCCCTTGTCCTGCTGGGGGATCATTGTGTTGTGTTTCTTCATCAGTCTGATCTGGTGAATTATTATTTGTAGTTTGTGTTTGCTCTTCATTTTTTTCCTCGTTAGTATCATTCCTCGCCTGCCCTCCTGCCATGATCTGTTGTTGTCCATCTCCATCCAGCAGACCCTGAGCTGGTGTTGCAGTACATACAGGCTTTGTTGCCTCTGTCTTCTCTTGGTGTGTTTCCTGTTCTACCTGACATGAAAGTCCTGTTTTTTCAACTGAACATTCAATGTTATTTTCTTTTTCCATCTTGTTCTGATTCTGTTTTGTCCCGTTCTCTGTTGTGAGCTTCTCTTTGTCTGTTTCTCCCTCTATCAGACTCTCCTGCTCTGAGGCTGATCCTGTATCCACTCTCTGAGTTTCTTCATCCACAGAATATTTCCCACTCTCTGTGTGCAGAAACAATAAACAGTAAAAATAAATGTGCATGTTGCTGTAAAGATGTAAAAAAAATATAGTTTACATATTGCACAGAGCATAAGAGAGAAGCTAAAATATATTCCGCCTTAAAATGGCTAAAATAATTACTACTTATACAGAAGAGTTAACTAAGTAAATAAAATACAGATTTAAATTTTAAACAGTGTACAAAAATGTAAAATGTTATGTAAAAAACTGATGTAAAACCTCTTCAGTATGTCAATATAACCATGTCAGAGTTACAATAGCAGATTACTGACTTACTGATTGTGTTCTGTCTCAATTTCCACGCAACGAGGAGAACTGCAAGAATAAACATGATGCCAACAACCAATCCAATGATGGTAGAAGCAGTTGAGTGAGATGATTCCATGATAAAATCATCTGAGAGGGAAAAATAACAGCAAGAAATTGATTTAAACTGCACATCAGCTGTTTGAAACAAAAACATTGAACATATGATAAATATATAACTCATATCTACCTGGAACCTGGATGTGTGTCTCTGTGGTCTGGTTGATGTTCCTCTGTTGGACTCTACAGGTGAAGCTGTTGCTGTGTCTCTTCTCCACAGTCACTCTGCTGCTGACAGTATAGAGGTCATCAGGACCTCTGACTGTCTCTGTAGGTCCAGCAGAGAGGAGCTTTCCCTCACCGTCCAGCCACAACACCTCAGGCTCTGGATACCAGCCTGCAGACTCACACTGTAACACTCCTTTGCTAACTTTGATTATCTCCACGACAGAATGTGATACTGAGAAAGAGAAAAGCCAGAAAATAATTAGCACAAGTTCATTATGGTAGCCTGGTTCCAGACCATAGACCCCGCCCACTCAACTGAGTAGGCTTGCATCTCTGGTCTGGCATACTTCAATGAATTTGCGATTTATCTCGTCCAAACGCTGGACGGACCAATGAACGCCGGGGGTGGGGGCGGGTCTAGCGATTAGCCAATCAGCGCCACGCTGATGTCAAGCTGTACGCCGGTGGGTAACTGGTGAGGATAGCAACAATGGCGACCGCTACAGATCCTACAGACCACATTAACGATGCTATCAAGGTATTTCGCCACTACTCGCGTTAATGGAGGACCAAATTAAGGAAGCTGCTAAACTGGATTTAACAGCGATGCAACTGGGCGTGCACGACGATGGAGACATTTTTAACGGGCAATGCTCGCTTGTTTTCAGCACCCACGAGACATGGATACTAATGACGTCAGATTCTGGGTGAGTCGTTGATGTCTACTGATTGGTTAGGGAAAAATCAAATTCCCTCCCCCTTGTAAATCGCCTTCAATGGAGGCCATGTCAGACTGAAGATTCTGGGAGCTTCAGTCTGACACTCAGGCTATCATTATGGTCATTTTGTAGTGATTATGACTGTACAACTGTGTTGCATATGAGAAACCCTCCTTGGACAACATATTCTCACTCCCAGCTCATCACATATTGCCACTTGTTAAATGGAATTTTGATATCTACATATGATGCACTCGATATCCTGGGTGCGTCTGTTGTTGATGTTTGCAATGCCATGTCAATTTGTGCTTGTTACATGTATTGTGTCTTTTCAAAACCAGCCCTTGCTCATTACTAAGTCGTCAAATACTGGCACTTTTGCAGTGATATGCGTCAGACAGACACCCATGCCAAAAGCTACCTGGTGATATGACATACATATATATATATATATATATATATATATATATGTATGATATGCTGCCGGACAGCATCAGTTAGAAACGCTGCCGCATAACAATGCAATGTAAGGAGCTGGTGAGTTCCTATAGGGCAGTTTGGAGGGGTGGTGGATTGGTCCAACAATTCCCAGACTTTCACCTGGGAGTCTGATGTTTGCTTCCTGTATGAACCATGACATGTATGAACCATGATGTGTATGAACCATGATGTGTATGAACCATGACGTCTTTCTTTTTTTTTCTCAACCTTACCACATGCTTTTATTGCCAAAACCTCAACAAGTGCTTTGTTGACGTCCCATCCTGCAATGTCAACAGTAGATGCTGAAGGGTACCTGAAGGCATTTCTAGCACCTTAAAGGGATAGTGCACCCAAAAATTAAAATTCAGCCATTATCTACTCACCCTCATGCCGAGGGAAAACTCTGGTGAAGTTTTAGAGTTCTCAGGCTTGCCTTGTACCAGCCCCTAGTTAGGCTGACTTAGGCCTAGTCTGCCGGAGGACCCCCTATAATACACCGGGCACCTTCTCTCCTTCTCTCTCTCTCTCTCTCTCTCTCTCTCTCTCTCTCTCTCTCTCTCGTATTCTATTACTGCATCTTGCTAACTCGGCCATTCTGGATGTCACTAACTCGGCTTCTTCTCCGGAGCCTTTGTGCTCCACTGTCTCTCAGATTAACTCATATC